TACGCATTGTAGAAAATGTTTTTTCTTAGTTCATTACTACTTAACATGTCCACATAGACTACATAATGATTAGGTCTGATTAATTATTTTTTCATGTACAATTACGAGATAAGGCTTATCTCAATTACTCCATAACATGTCATAAATTGTAAATAATGTTGTGGTTACTTACTTCTTCACATGTATTCATAGTAGATAATGTTCAGACATAGTTTAAGGTCTATTCCATTTGGGTGAGTTTCATAACTGGTCATGTTCTGGAGGCACTACGCATCATTGTGGGCTGTTTTCTCAATATGATTGCATCCCACCCATGGAATGATTCCTCAACCACTAGTCTTTCATTGTTCAGCTTATAACTTGTTTGTCCTCTTTTTTGTTGTTTTTGCCACACCTCTCATTGCTAACCTTCCTCTCTTCTGGTCTTCTGTGCTTCATTCCTCATCCCTGCTATCTATGCCCTCAGTTAAAACTGGTCCAATATTTTTCCTTATGCCTTTCCTCCTCTCCACTTTCTCCCTAAACTCCCTGCTCTGTTTCAGGACACCCCTTGTAGGGTCCTTTTAGTGGTTCCTTACAGGCTATCCCAACCATGGTTCCTGTTACTAAATCTCCTTGTATCTCAGACCTTCACACATCACTCTTTCCTAAGGATATGACATCCCTTTATCTTCATATGTAGGATTTGTCCAGTCTACCTCCCTGATCATGTAGCTGTTCCTTTTCCCACTCCTGTCACCCTTATACCATTTCTATGTGCCAATATAGAGGGCGAACTTCTCACCGTGTTCTCACTGTCAATGTTTTCCCTTTGACTTCATTGCATTGTAACATATTCCTCTTTTTTTCACTGGACTGTTCTCATGTGCCACAGAATAATTTTTTCTGTGGCAATTTTGTACCCAAGATCATTTCTTCCTTATCCACTGATTTCCCTTCCTACTTTGTGCCTGAATGCATTAAAATGTGGTTCTCCACACTATTACTCGGGTCCCTACCAAACCTCTATCAGATATTTCTGCTTTATCTAGGCATGTTAGTTCTATTTCTACATACCTGTGATTGCCATTGTTCACATATATATGCCTGTGTTTCCTCCCACTTCCTCACTGTCCTTTCATACCTTGAGACCCCTTCTCTTTCTGGGGCCTCTCTCCTTCCCCCATTACAAGTTGGATCTACCAGCTCATACATCTTGCATATGCCCATCTGGAGGTGGATGTCTATATGCTATCTCAAGCCTCCTCTCTTCCTAATTTCTCCCACTCTTTTCTTTTCTCCAGGCTAGCATGTGGTCCATCACACACCTCTTTATTGCCCACTATTTGCACTTCCTAGCTGTCTCATCTCCATTAAGATTTAGATTTCCACTCATGGCCATCCTTCAATCCATCCCCATCTGTCTTCAGGTGAATGTACATATTTTTCACCTCATAATCACTGTAGGATCCAACTAGGCAGCTAGTGTTGCCTCCCAGGGTGTATTTATCCAAAATTCCACATTGAGTCAGGATAACTGAAAGCTATCATACCATCTGCCCTGGCTCTACACACACCCACTGGGAAATGGAATGTTCTGCAAGACCACTTGAGGTTTCCTCATGGTATTTCTAAATATATCTATATTATGTTTCTTGTCTGATCCAGACTGTACCCATTCCATAGACTATCGTGGAAAAAGCCAGCATCAGAGTTGTGTATCTTCCAACTTCTCTAGCCTGTATTTGCTGGTTTCTAAAAATAGGGTTTCATGGTCACCCATTGCACTGTCTCCAGTGAAAGGCTTTTATGGACAGAGAGACTAATGGGGATCCAGGTACTTTCTCTGGGTGACCCCTATGTCAAGTGGAGCATGGGAGACCCTAGCCACTTACCAGCTGCTGGTGTGATGGATCATGGAGAATCTTCACCAGTTGGGACCTAACTGTTGGGCTAGAACAAGGGGTCCCTCTACAGTGAGAAGAGGGGCTGGGGTGTTTCCAGAGTGTAGTGCAGCTCAACCTACATATATGTATACATTGGATACATCACAATCCCCAAATGGGCTGTGGATACATATAACTGTTTAACTCGTTTATCTCATAATTCCTGCTCCCACAGCTAGCATGAGCCCACTGGGTCTGACAGTTGAGTAGATGAACCAGTCCCTATACACCTGTGAAGTATCATTCGCACAACCTACACCTACACGAGCAAGGGGTTCACAGTGGTTGATGGTTGAGGAGGTAAGAAAGGATGCTTATCACAAGTGCTCTCTTCCCATAGTGGTCTCGACCTGTCAAGTCTGATGGTAAAGAAGGTGAGCACATAAGATACGGTCTGTATATATTGACTGTCCGAAGGCTTATGTGAGAGTACTTGGACATTCACATACCTATTCAGCCCATTATCACAACATTTATCGCTTCTTAGCCTCTTCTCTTTTTATACATGGGCAAAGAGTATGCCCTGGATTAGATGAGATGCAGTCTCCTTCAGGTGTACTATTATGAAACCCCTGCCATCAGGTTTCACACCCCAGGGCTTTCTTTGGATTCTTTCTGAAGGGAGCTCATCCAGGTAATCTTTACACCAATCCCTCTTCCATCTCAACATAGGATTCTAACTATCAATGTATGGAGGTGAGTATTCATTTTGGAAGTTATCATTTTTCTTACCTGAAAATGTATTTCTGATGGATACTTCCCTTATTACACATTCTTACTCTTCCTCCCCACTATCCTGGTGCACCTGTTGTTATTGCCTTGTCAGAGAATGAAGATTTTCATGTGGGAATGTGGAGGGAATATTTACTCATGGAGATGTGTAGCACTCTTATTGGTGGAGAGTTTTGCTGCATGATATGGCATCATGTAGTAGCATAGCACAAATTCATGTGAAATTAGGTGGAGTTTTTGCAAGGCTGGTGGCATGCAACTCTCCCAGGCACAATATGAGAACTCAAGAGGAAATAGCTATCAGTGCATGGAGTTGAGTATCTATCAGAGATAAATTTTGAGGTAAGGAAAATGTTAACATTCCTAGTAGGTTTGTGAATACTTTCCAATTACCCATCTCCATCTTGGTTTAACTCTTAACATTTTCTAATCTGTATGCCTGAAATTAAAATTCCCCATAAGTATCAATTAAAATAACAACTAAAATTTAATCTCACTATAGAGTTGCTCATTAATTTTATCAGATTTTCTGGTAAGTTATAAAATATTCCAACTAAAATCCTTTTGTGTATATGTATATTCACTGACAGAAATCCGAGTAAGTTCAATCTTTTAGCATTGTGATGTCTTCTATTTTTCATTTTTTTTTTATTAGTGAGCAAAGGGTAAGAACAACTCATAAACATTTTTATTATCTGTAATGCATTATGATGGTTCATAGATTGATTGTGAGGTTATATAATAACCACTACTGAAAAAATCTGCCTATATAAGTTATCTCGGCATACTTCTTATATACTTATTTTAAGCTATTCATCTCCCCCCCCCCGTAAGTAGAAGAAACATGATTGACAGAACTAAAGCTTTGGTTCCCTGGTTAATCATGGTGGCTGAATCAATGATCTTAGTGAGACATATGGCTCTCTGTTATCTCAGAGTTGATTAGTAATCATCATCATGTGAGAGTAAAATATAAAAAAAAGGTAAGATTTCTTAGGGAAAAAAACAATACGAGAAACTTGAGCTATCTGGAACACTTCTAAGGTTTAAGTTAAGACACTGAATACAATAAATAATAAGAGCTAATAAGGATAAAACTCTTTTTTTTTTAGTTGGTAGTCATATGGGAAGTTGCTGCTATTAATCTTACCTACAATCACACAGTTATTCTCATTCAGTACTGCCCTGTATGTGCAAACATTTCTTTGCATGCCACAAGCCTTGAACTGCCACTTACCCCATGATTAACATGGTTCACTTCATCTTCACATGTAAGTCATCATGGGAGCATGACACACCCTCCTGATGCATGTGACTCCCTCTATTTGATTCTACTGAATTATCACTTCTCGTTAGGCAGTTGTTTAGTGCAGATATTTGCAATTGTGCTCTTTTCATGTATTGATTTCTTGTTATTCAGGCAAAGTAGTGCTATACCATTTATTATTACTTTACTACAGTTGGTTCTCTATAGTTTCTTTTTGTCATAATAATTGGTGGGGATGTGCACCTGCTATTTTCTGCCCATGCATGTGACACCTATTTCCAAACTGAGCAGAGAGTATATCTGGTACAGAAGTAGCATGGTCTCCCACGTATGTTCCCCTCCCAATGTGGATCACACTTCAAAGGTGCTTTTGAAAAATACTTCATTATATCTCTTGTTCCGGTCCCTCCACCTCTTCACTGTGGGATTTTAGCTATATGTATGAGAAGAGGTAAAATACTGTATTGGAAGTTATTATTATTCTATACTGAAAATATAGTTCCAATAGGTAATTACCTCCACTCACACTTCTCACCCTTCCTCCCCACTTAAAACCAGTGCTTCCTTTCTGCCTAATCTCAAAGTGATAATTCAGTAAAATCGAATAGAGGGAGTCGCATGTCAGGTGGATTATCGCATGATGATTTACATGCAAAGATGCAGTGAACCACGTTAATCTTGGTGTAAGTGGGAGTTAAAGGCTTGTGGCATGTGAAAAAAGTCTGCATATACAGGGCAGCACTGAACAAGAATAGCTATAAGTGGGAATAAAGGTAATACCTATTGGAAATGTAATATCAGTATAAGAAAATAATAACGTTTGTATAATGTTTATGATGTATCAGTGTATTGTGGTAAATAATAAAATTGAAATTAAAGATCTCACTAATGAGGGCAAATAAGAATTAGAACTCGGTAGATAGTCATCATAAAACACTTATTTGTTTGTAAAATTCCAAAAGGGAAAATGATATAGTAAAAGGACATTGAGGAAAGTACCAGCACATTAGTCCTGTGGCATGTGCTTAATTAACCAAGATCTATGATATTTATATAGCTTTTTTCTTTTTCTATAGGAAGACAGCACAGCAACTAACAAGAATGATCAAGTATTAGCAGATGGGAATGGCACTGTGGATGGTCCAGCAGCCAAGAAAACCAAGTTGGTGAAAGATCACACAATGGCAGAAACTGCTGCTGTTAGTAATTTTGAAACTTATGACCTTGCAATTTATATATGCAACTTTCATGTAGTTATGTTTGTGTTATGAAATCATGATGTATAATTCCTTATAGCATACTGTACAACTGTTATTGTGATATTGTTAATTTCTTTTGTTACAAATAAGATACTGCTTCTGGACTGAGGTAATTTTATTAGTTAAAGCTAATTTGTTAATTATAATGTTTCATTAATGACATTGTATTAGCTTTTTGTGGTTGGATCTTCTTTTTGACATTGTGATAGTACTATTCTGTATAATTTATTAGCTTCATGATATTTTTCAAGAGATGCTTCTACACAACAGTTAAAAGGGATTTAGTTTTATACTAAATTTTGAAACTTTCTTTTCTATTATTTTATGATATTTCTGTTTAAATATGCTTTGAATTGAGTAGGTTAATCTTAAAACTTTTCTATCCTAAATCAGGCAGGAAAACAATTCTTAGGAAAAGAAGTTTTGGAAGAGTCAAGATCACTAACCCGAGCTATCCGTGACACTGCAAAGGTTACAATTAAGAGACTGGATACAATGACCATAACAGCTAAAGAAGGCAAATACTGTTTTTAGTATGAAGTGATCTAGCATCTTCCTCACGTGATTAATGTGCTTCATCATTTGTATCATGGCTCATGTATCGGTGTGTAATGTGGCAAATGGTAAAAATGGAAAGTACAGTTTTCACCTGTATTATGATATTCAAAATTATATGTATAACTTTCATAGAAGGATGAAGAATCTTTAACAGTTGTTTACTAGAATGTAGGGTTTTTTCAGCTAAGCTTTTCTTTTATCAATTTTTGTTTCTTAGTTGAATTCATATCATTGGAGATATTGTGATGGTCATTTATTGCTCTGGATCAACAGGAGAGGCCTTGTTGAAAAATTTAAGTCATCCAAAGGAAAGCAGTAGTACAGGAAAACGAAAGACCAGATCACAGACCCGTGGGGGTGATCAGCAGTCACCATCATCTGAGAGTAAAAAACTCAAAAAAGTAAGGTTTCCTTGTTTGTTTTTTTTATCTAGCAAGTAATTTTGTAATTCATAAATATCCTATAGATGAATTACTGTGCAGTATCCAAGCCTTAACTGAAAGATTAGCAGGGAAATGCAACAAGGAGGGTGGTTGGACCTGTGGGATAGTTTTTCGGAGATAAGTCCACTTAAGCAGGTTAGGCAGCAGGATGTTTGGGGAAGCTCTAAAGATATTCATTAAAGATGTTTTCAATTAAACTTGCATATTGGTGAGAGAGCTTGAGCAATTTGGAATAAATAAATAAATTGATAGGACATATAGGGCAATGAGAATTTGAAAATTGAAGATTTAGAGCATAACAAGTTAATTATAATAGTTTTAAAGATAAATTCAGATTTAAAGACAAATTGTAAAAGCAAGAATAAGCTTAGTTGCTGTTATTCTAATCTAGAAGTGGAACAAACAGAATGGATAAATTCAGGGCTTCAGTGATAGGAATTACTGAAACTTGGTTAGATTTGGAGAATATTGATGATAGGAAGTATTTTAAAATTTCAGGCTATAAGTTATTTATCAGTGATTGGCTTTTTCAAAGATGGGTGGGATGTCTCCTCATACAAGGGATGAACTACAGCATTTTAGGATTGAAGACAAGTGGTAGTAGTTGAAATATTGAATTTATGTGAGTTACAATCAGTGGTTTCAAGGATGGAAAGTTTATAACTGGCAGTTGTTATTGACTATCTAGTCAGTCAGATGAGGTCCATGAAAAATTATATAGTGAGATCAGAGCTAGTACTAGTACAGGGCTCGTGCTAGTTGCATATCATGCATATTTGCAATAGGCTGATTTCACTGGGCTTAACCCAATAAACTGTCAAGTTGTGTCATTTCTTGCCACTAGAAGCTACACATATGTGCAATGGATTGATGATTGGCCTAACCAAAACTTCTGTCCAACTGGAATCGCGCATGGTTGCCAAGCATGTCATTACCCATTATATGATCTGACCACTTGCACTTGGGCATTCATGCATTTCTTATTCACTTGATGCTAAGCAGCAAATGATGTTTAATCTTTTTAAGCATCCTCCAACTTGTACAAAAACTAACACTGGGAGTGAAAGCCTTCTTCTGTTGAAGGAAAGGATTCCAATAATATAGGAGCAGTGGTGGATTCTGTTTTCAATGTCTTAGAAAGGAAATTTGAAGTGATTGTCAAAGCAGAAACAAGTAAAAAAACAAGCTTGCTTATCTTCTTTTACTTCAGAAAAAATTCTAGACAATGAATACCACAACAATTTTTATGACTGCAGAAACCAGTGAAGGATGAAAAATGCTTTGCAAAACCTGTATATTTGACAATGACACCAACATTTTTAGCAGTGACGTGGTTTACAGCAACCTGAGATCATATCTGAGCAATTAGTTTACAAGCAAGCCAGTGAGTGATGTAGGTTCAACCCAAACCAAAAAAGAAGATGCAAGTACATTAAAGTCACAATGCAAATTATGTACTATCTTGCAAAAAATTGTAAACTTGAGTAATTTTGTGGATCTCGTTGAATTACTATTAATCAACAGATATCTAGATCTTCAAAATAGAGACCATTCAGTTGTTTATGAAATACAAGAACTTATAGCCAAGTAATTCAAGAGAACATTAAAAAAAAAACATTGTGGAGAACCCCTTTTTACCACTTCTAATTGATGAAACTATAAATGTGACCATTCACAAGGAACTGATTGTTTTGTTTTTTTGTTGACTTTAAAATTGGCATCCTAAAACAGTTTTTCATAGAAATTATACACAACAACAAATGGAGATACAGAGTCCATCTACAACAAACTTATAGAAGTGTGTGATATCATTGATCTGCAAAAGATTGTAGGCCTGGAATTAGGGAGGCCAATGTAATAGCAAAATCACAAGTGCTGATGTGAGTTTGAAATCTCATTCACAGCATCTTACACATACACTGCATTATCTACTGGTGAAACTTCCAAAGGTGGTTCTTACAGGAAAATGGTAACAGAGTTTTCATGCTGTGATGGCATTTGGAATTTGATACTCTTGTTCTGTCTTCTGTATTTCATTCACTAAAGAGTTTGAAATCATTAATGTTAATTACCCGAGCTTGTTTTGGCTTTAAATGATGAGGCTGCTAGAAACAACCTAATTGCCAATGGGTTGCTTAGACAATTGAAAAATCTTTTCTTTTGCAGCCATGACAAACACACTTCTTGATATTTTGGCCATTGAAGACAGTCTGAATCAAACTTTTCAATGGAATGACATTAATTTGACACTCATTTAACCTCAAGTTGCTGGTATAATTTTCAATTTAGAGCAACTATTGCAGCAGTCATTTTTGAGAGACTGGAACAAGAATTCATCACAGAATTTTCTCAGATGGATAGCACTTACAAAGGCCAGAGAATACCTTTTGCCAAGTGCACAATGATTTTATTCAAGCTCTCATTGACAACTTAAAGTTGCATATTCCTGAGACAGGTCTAGATCTGTTTACATCACTTGGATGTGTTGCAATTAATAGTTTTTCCACTGACAGGTTGCAAGCTATGCAACTTCTGAAAAGAAATACTGAATGTAATCTCTGCTTGATAAACACCTGTACTAAACAGCAAAACATTGATAAGGAGGGAGAGTGAAAAGCACTCCAGCTGTCTGATATTGATTGTCATGGAAGGGCCAAGTGTTTGTGACAATTCTTACATTCATTATGTGTGTGTGTGTGTGTGTGTGTGTGTATGATTGATCATACAAAGTAAATATCAGAGAAAATTCTAAGCTTCAAAATGAGTACTGGCAGCTTTTTGTCTAACTTTCCCCCAAATAAATACTTTTGTATTCTTTATCGACTATTACACAATTTGATATCCGTAATAAATTTTTTGGTAACTTTGCACTTCACAAAGCACTTGTTTCATACCTAGCATGAATACTGATACAATAATTATGGGAGACTTTAAATTTAGATACATTGGTTCAACTGATATGGAACCAAATAGTGAGAGAGAGACTTTCTTGAAGTGATTGAGGATAATTTCCTATACCAAATGATCAGAGAGCCAACCAAGGGGGAATGTCTTTTTATATTTATTGCTAACCACTAATGAGAATATAGTTGTAAGACTTTAAGCAGAATAACATACGGGGAAGAATGATCATTGCATAACTAGTTTTGATGTTTGTCTTCATATTGAAATAATAAGTGAAATTTTTAAAAGTCAATTTTGAGGCCATGAGACAATATTTATCTTTATTGAATAGGGATAATGTGTTAGAAGATGATGTGGAACAGGTATTGAAAATTTAAAGAAATTTAATTCCTTTAAAGCAGAAAAGGATAACAGGGAAGATCAAACCTAATCGGCATATGAAAGACATAAGGGAAAAAAATTGAGGATAAATGTTATAAGTTTAAGAAATTTAAATTGACAGAGAGACTGGTAGATTTACAGAACTGTAGGATTTAGGTAAAAAAAAAAAAAATTGGGAAATTTGAAAGTGTTTATGAGAGAGAAACAGCTCTTTGGTAATGTTAAAACTAACAAAAGGGATTTTTTTTAAGTATGTTCATGTTGAACAAGATGTTAAAATAGGGATTCGGTTATTAAAGGATTCTGATGGCAAGGATTTTGTTGAAGACTATGAGATGGCTGAACTTTTAATTGTTATTTTCTTCTATTCTGTTTTTACATGAGAAGGTATTGGCAATATTCCTTATCCTGGACATTACGTGGGAAATATTGGAATGGACCTGAATACCGTGGATATTAATCCCTTAGCGGTAAAAAGATAGACTGACAGATTAAAAATAAAGTACCAGGGTCAGATAAGTGTTTCTTCAGGGTTTTAATGGATACCAAACATAAGATACATGAGCTTCTCTGTTTGATATTTAGTATGTCAATAGATAGTGGGCAGGTGCCTGAGAATTACAGAGTTGATGATGTTACTCCTATTATTAAAGGGATTGATAAGAGTTACCATGGAAATTATAGACCAGTTAGTCTTACTTTTATAGTGAGAAAAATCCTAAGGATTTTGATATATTTTGGTACTTGTTATGTTGACAGTGGAAAAGGCGAGGGATGAAGGCTTGCTGTACTTAGATTTTCAAAAAGAAAATATCACATTGGCAGGTGTTGGGAAAGACTAGTTAATTGGATTGTAGAGCAGTAGTATGGCAAAACAAAAATGTTTTTATTAAGTGAATCCAATCAGACTGGACTCTCGTTACTAATTAAGTACCTCAGAGACTGTTTTTTTTATGCACCTTAATAATATTGATAAGGACTTAATTAGCAAATTTGTAAAGTTTGCTAATTACATTAAACTTCAAGGTGTTTGTAGCTAGATGTATTAAAGTATTATAGTATAAATTAAATCAATTCATATAAGTTGGACAAATATTTGTCAAATTACCTTTAATTGTAGCAAATGCAAAGTAATGCATTTGGGTTATAAATTTGGTCATACATTTAATATCAACAGTGTGACTTCCTGAAGTAAAGGATTTCACTGTATTTGTGGAGTCCATCAAAATAGCATTCTGTTACAAGTAAAGCTAGTAGAATAATTTTGTGTATTTTTGTCAAAAGAGATAGTTATTTCTTTATACAAATCACTAGTTAGGCCTCACTTGAAATACTGTGTACAGTATTATTCTTCTTATCTAATAAAAGATATTCACTTATTGGTAAAGGGTTCAAAGTAGAGCTACTTGGATGATTCCAGAAATGTAAGAGTTATAGGTATAGTTTAAGATCTTTTAACTTATTTTCTCTTAGGAAAAGACAGGTAAAAAGTGATATTACTGAAGTTTAGAAGATTATCAACGGGATTTATGGGATAAAAGACCTGATTACTTTGTGCTATGTTCTGAAGGCAAGTGAACACAAGTTAAGACTTGGAAATGTCAGGTTGGACTCCATTCAAGATAGTGTTATTTTCAAACAAGGCAATTAACTTATGAATGAGTTGCCAAAAG